ATGAAAGATGGGAAAATGTTGAACAACTTGTTGAGTGCTAGTAGGGAGTGACTCAGAATGACGGTATGGAGAAGGAACATGGAAACTACTATGTATACATAAGGGTTTGCTTAGCAACAAAACCCCCAAACCCTGAGCCACGAAGTGGGGCATAATTCAAAGTTCCTTTTTCGGGAAGTGGCCGCAGATCCCGTGGGGTTTGAGCGGCTAATGTCGGCCTAGGATGCCTGATCGAACGCGTCGTTTGCGTAAGACGTTTTGCTCACGGCAACCGCAGTAGTTTCCATTTCATTTTCCATTATCCCTATACAATCCCAATATTACCCCAACATATATACATGTATACCCGATTATATTGTAGTAGCGCAGTGTGAACCAAAATAACCTGCCCTGTAAAAACCATACCTCTCTTCAGGAGTCCAAGCTGAGCTTTCAGAATCTTAAAGCATGACGTTACCACTGGTACAGCCACTAATCCATGGTTTCTAGAAATAGAGGGGAAGTTAACATAATTAGTCCCCCTAATATTGAAAATTCTTATTCTAGGCACCCCCAAATGGTACCCCTAACTATGGGAAACCCCCACACCAGGGGTAACTCCCCCTAAACCCTAAACCCTAAACCCTAAACCCAAAGGTACCCCTAATTTCGGGAAACTCCCACACCAGTCAAGACTCAGATCTGTTAGCAGGTGCCCAGTGATGAGTTGACAACTGCTAGGCGAGTTCTACCTGGACCCCAAAATTTCAGGGTTTAGGGTTTAGGCTGTGAATAAGAGCCAAAAGTCCTTTAAAGTAGCCCGCACGGCCATTATTCTACATACTTTTGGGGTTCAGGTGATTACTAAAGCCCAGTGACACTCAGCAACCGGCTCGCGTGCTCCTGACTGTATCTGTGCCTGTCAGACCCCTGCATTCAGAGGGATCCCAATTTTTTTCCACGCATTATTCCTTGACTGGTCTGAAGAGTTGTCTCTTTTTGTTCCACATATTTCAGGTTTAGCCATATATTTCGGTTCCAGGGGGTAGGGTTTAAGTGTAGAGTTGAGTGCAGATTGCTTTCAGGATTCGATTGGAGGCCGGTAATGGGCTGTCTCTTGCTGTGTCCAGGTGAGGATAAACCTTGCCTGAGCGCATGCTTAGGTAGCGTATGCTGTGTCAGGTCATTGCCCTAACAGTAGAGGAGTTATGATAAGCGCCTTAATGAAGCCTTTTTAGGGACATTTACTGGGACAGGGAATGAACAGAGCGACAGACCTATGGACCAGTATTTGCTTGGGTTGCTTTGCCTTTGCATGATCTTAGATGTATTCATGTTCCGCTGGCACAGTTTCACTGGGCTTTAGCTGTAGGTAGTCAGGTCTAGCCAAAGAGGCTAGCTGTGGAACCTGAATCCCAAGTTCTTCTCTTCAGGCGCCCTGCTTCATAGCAAAGACCATTGGGGAAGCGTGCTTTCTACTTGAAGCGCCTTGGGATTCTAGTAAGCCATGCTTGGCAAAGCCACGAGAATTCAGTCTTCATGATGGGGCTGTTCCTTGACCCAAATACCGCGCAGAAGTTCCACATACTGCTGTCAAGGATTTTCAGCTTCACAGAACCATATTATGTATCGGCAACAAGTAGCCACAGCATGGCAACTATATCAAAGCTCTTCAGCAACAGCCCGATATAGTCATAGTCAGGTTTGCAATGTGAACATGACGATTAAAGCATCTACGCCCAAACTCCAGATTTCCGGATCTTGAGCGCTTAGCGTCAAGAACTTCAAGTATGCACAGGTAGCGTTATGTTGGTGAACTAAGAGGGGAAGCATAGTTGTATAGCTGCTGAAAGGCACTCAGCAAGAGCCTGCTACTCTGCTAGTCGTCCCTGAACCAGTGATCTAGAATCCGCCTTATATCACGTCAAGATGGTTGCTTAACAGCTGCTAGCATTGCTTGTTTTGGGCTGTGTCAACAGGCTCAATGAAAACCAAGAGGCAGAGACGGCGATCTCTAAAAGAACCCGCATTCCTGCGAAGGGTTGGGTAACGGCTAGACCCTAAATCCCTGAACCCTGAACCCTAAACCGTAAGCCCTATAGTAGTTTCCATGTTCTTTTCCATTCTCCCAATAAAGCCCCTATTTACCGCCCAGCATCCTATCCGCTCCATTCGTGATTGTCTCACGTGCAAGTCTCACCGGCGAAATGTCTCCTGGGTCGCGGTTAGGTAGAATGCGTTTATATTGGGGTTATGTTAGGGTCATATTTGGGATATATTCGGGCGATATTAGGGTTATACTGGGGTCATATTGGGGTTATATTGGGCTGTGTATACCGCAGGAACAATAGGATTTGGGATTTAGGGTTTGCGGTTTGCGACTTCAAGCTTAACAAAGCTTATCACGACTAGCTTTTATTAAGCCATGAACCCTTAGGTAAGAAGCATGCTCAAGCAACCTCAAGCAACCACACACCAAACGTTGCGTTGCCAGACCCCACGACCTGACTTCAAGTTTCAGCGGATGCACACGGTACAGGCTTTACATGGTACACTCTGGAGAACAAGGGATATCCCTGGCTAGCCTGAATCAATGTTCTAACATGACTGGAAGGGGTCTGGGTCAGCCCCCTTTGCAATGACCACCTGAAAGACGGGAGCTATCTATGCCCAACCCCCCCCCTTTAAAGTTTACCTTAACCTCTAGCTTCCCAAAAGCAGAGGATCCCTGACTAGCGGATGACTGGCATTACGATTATGAGGCACAACATTTGATGAAGTCTTTGGAATTCATGGTCGACAACCCACCCCCCCACTAAGATGAGATCCAACACTAGCCTTACCCCTGACCCATTTAGGGAGAACACGAAAACGCCTGCTCCGAACGCCGGAGTGCGCACGCCGAAAAAAAGTGTAGGAATCTAAACTCCGTAAAAGGGGTTATATGAAGGATATTATAAGGGATTACTTCAGGATCTATTCAGGGGATACTATCAGTTTAGACTATAGCTCATACAGGCCGACGGTGTTTTGTTGGCTTCCTTGTCGTTTGGAAGTGTAGAAAGTGATTCTCTCGATGGTGCGGTTTTGGGCGCGCTTCTGCTCGTTCAGATCTCTGGTAATTTCTCAGAGAATTTTCTGCAAAATCTTCAACCAGCTAAAACCAAAACGCTAGCCCCTAAACCTGGCAAAAATATCCCAAAAAACACACACACACACAGACAGCCTTACCAAGCATCGCCCTAACCACTTTCTAGTCCCATACCCTCAGCTCAGCGTCCCTGAGCGTCCCCTTTTTTTGAGAATCCCCTCAAGTGGTGTCCATCAAAATCTCCCTACATGTAGTAGTCTGCAACTGGGGGATTATGGAAGTCCTTCTTGGGGATTCTAGAGGGACTAGTGCAAGAAACTCCCATGCAGCTCCCAAAAATGCCTTAACAATCCGCAGGTCGCATATTTGAGACGCTAATCCCTGGCGACCTGCTACACATGAGACTGGACTGACGTCTGACTCTAACCCTGAGCCTTACAGAGCCCCTGCAATCCACATTTTGTTGAACGTTTCTGTGGGCAACTAGTTGCGGTGACGCTCAAGCTCAGTGCACTCCCCCAGGCCCCAGCATGATGCCACAGCAATGCCCAACGCCGGGTCTAGTTGCGGTCTATACCCGCATGAAGAACAGGCTGCTCTCATGAAGGGTCCTTCCTGACATGTTGAATGAACTCTGAGAACAAGGACTACGGGCCGCATGCCATTGGATGAATACACTTGAGCTCTGCATGATGTACAGGTCCCGTGTTTTCAAGTTTAGTCCTCAGGTCCATGTGGTAATTTCTCGAAAATAGCACCCTAAATCCTGAACCCTTACACCCTGAACCCCAAATCCTAAACCCTTACAGCCTGAAACCCTGAACCCCTACCCCCCAAACAGATTCCTAGGCTCTAAAGCACCCCCTACATAGTTCCTGCCGGCCCGGCTCCGAGTCACACCTGCAATTGGGTTCCTGCGAAAAATTCGTGGACCCATGTCATCCTTCAGTACTTATTTAAGTTACCATATTGCGGAAACCCTGTTGTGTACTATATATACCCATTATGGTAACTTAAACCCTACACCCTATATAGCCCTAAAGACCCTCAACCCTAAACTTAGGAAATTTAGGGTTTAGGGTGCTCCCTCCCCAGACCCTTTCAAGCCCTGCCCATAAGCCGGGCTTTGCAGCCCAATGTAGCTAATGTAGGACTGAATCCCCCGAAGCTAACTAGAAAGGCTTTTGAGGTACATCAGACAAGAGTCGCAAACGATTACAACGGAACATGTGCGATAACTATATACAGGTTCTAACAGAATGAATGCAAGAGCTACAGAGGGAATGTTTTAACGGTTGTAATGGACTCATAATTCCGACGTCCAGCCTAGCAAAGGCAGCTGACGAAACTCGATCTGTACCCTAAGCTCAAAATCCCAAGCCCTAACCCCTAAACCCTAAACCCCCTAACCTCTAAAAGCCAAAAGCCAGGTCCTCACACCTTGCTAAATGCTATACCCTTCCTCTAGGACCGTAGAAGCCATGGCAAACCTCTGGCCTCCAATGAACTGGGGCCCTGGCTCTTCCGCGCCCCCAAGGTCCACCGAGGCGGCTACTTGGGAGCGTTATGTTTGCTTTCAGGGTTTGGGGTGGGAGTAGGGGGTTAGGGCTCTAGGCGGTCAGTCGTTCAGGGTGTTCAGGGGTTTCGGGTTTTCGGGGGTTTTACGGGTTTAGGGTTTTACTTAGGTTTAAGGCGCTGCGTACCCCGAAGCAGTACCACTAACAGCTTTACACACAGGAAGTTTCCAGAAAGGCCCCTTTTGGAACCCCGCAGCTTTCCCGCAAGGAGTCTCCAGACCTCCGGCGATCCCTTTAAATCCTAACCTTTGTGCCCCAATCCCGAGGCCCTAAACCCTACACCCAAAACAATTTGGGAGCATGTTTTTCCTAATCCCCCACCCCTAAATCCTAAGCCCCCCTCATTTCCCCAGGTGGATTTGTGGCCGCCAATGAACTGGGGCGCAAACAACAACAAGCGCGTCGTCACCTTCGGGGAGGCGATGCTGCGCCGGGGCCCCGGCTCCCCTAAAGTATGTGAGCTATAGGCTATAGTCTAAACTCCTCAAAGGGGGGTTATATAGGGGATTATATAGGGGACTACTATAGGGGTTATTAAGGGGAATACTAGGAGTTTAGACTATAGCTCATGTAGAGTTATAGCCTTTTTGGCTGCTTTTAGGGGTTTAGGGCTATCATTTTACATGCTTTTGTGGTTTAGGTACTGCATGGTTCTTAGTAGGGAATATAGGAAAGTGAGATACGGTTTAGGGTTTGGGGCTAGTGGGTTATTGGGGTTAGTAGGGTTGCCTGCATGAAGCTTAGGATGAGCCACTGCAGATATCTTCATGCAAGCTTTGTTTATCCTAGGTCGGACTTTACTACAACTCCATCACTGGATAACTTCTGCTGTTACTGGTGGATTAGAGAGCAAACGAGAGAGCAACCAAGTATCACTAGCAGGAGGTTCGTCGTGCACTCCCGCACACATTTTTAGCATGTCTCATGAGCGTAAACCCTAATCCCTAGACCCCCAAAACAACGGACCAGCATTCTTGGTGGAAATCTCCATTTCTTGAGTTCTGCTTCAGCTGCCTTAGGAGCAAGATCTGTCCCCTCTGGTGGGGAGTAGAGATTCTCATGAACAGAATCAGCGCAGGGGTGTAGGATGCAGAGTCTTCCTAAACCCCAAAAGTATGGAATAAAAACAGCCACAAAGGTTTTAACTCCACATACTTTAGGGGTGCAGGTAGGGTTTAGAGTCAAGGGTTCGGCGATTAGAGCCCTTGCATGGCGAGGAGCAGAACAACAAAGAACGTAGGGGTCTGATTCAAGCATGTGGTAGTTTTCTGCAACAGGGGACCCCATACAGACCCCAAAGTACTATGATCCTCATTTTTGGGACTCCCACAAGATTATCTCTAATTTTGGGAAGCCTAATGTCTGAGCTTCTGAACTCACGTGATCTCACCTTTCCCTGGGTAGGGCCCTGGGATATGTTTATTTTCCCGAATGGCCTTAATTTGGGACCCTATATACGAATATTTTTCAAAGGGGTTTACAGTTCCAAAGAAGTGGAGACCTTCCCCGAAAAGCGAGACATCTGAGCCTGTGGCTTGCCACACCAACCAGTCTTCCGTTACAGGTTCACTGTGGGTTTAGGGTTAAGGCCCCAAGCTCAAGCCCCTGTCTGATTGAGAATAACGGACCGGAGCTTGGGTAGCCCAACCCCTGAGATAAGGACCCACCCTTGTCGAGTCCTAGTTTGAGGGGGTAGGTGGCGGTTACCAAAACCCTAAGCCCTAAACCCTAACCCCTCAAGCTCTGGATAGATAGAAATTGTCTAGGGCCCCATAAGCAACCCAAAGCCAAATACAAAAAGGGTTAAAACTCCGGACACGAGCCCTAGACAATTTCTAGAAACCCTAAACAGAAGTCCCCGAAGCCCAGGTTTCCAGCCCATGGACGAAACGACCAGTACCCAAGCCCCGCATACACCGCAGACATTTCTTCGCTCCATAGGCGGGGGCTGGGGGGGTTTTAGGGAGGGTTAGGGTTTTGGGTTTGGGGTTTGAGGGGGGTTATAGGGCTTATGGACAAGGGCTGCGGGCGAAGGGATTAGGAACTAGGAGGTTAGGTTTTTGGGGTAGGCCTTGGGGTTTTAGGGTTTGGGGTATAGGGCTTAAGGTTTGGGATTGTTGCTTCAGGATTGAGGGTTCAGGCTTTCAGGTTCTGCTTTGCAGGGTGGAGAAGGTATGAATCCCCCACACCCCAAAGCAGCGACCAACATCTTTTTACTTTTTGCCCTTTTCCATGTTATTCCATGCATTGTTCTTGCTGAAGCTTGTTTTCAAGCTGAGAGGGAGGTGCTGTGTGATGTTAAGGGGTAGCTTATCCTAAACCCTAAGCCCTGGACGCTAAACCCTATATACCTGACATCCTGAGCCTGCGATGCAGCCGTGCTTGTTTTGGCCTTGGGCTTTCGCGACTTGCGTGTGCTGGGCTAGGGTTTCTGGAGTTTTCGGAGGGTCGACGACTTGGGGAGGCTCCCCACGCAGGTTGACTTCCAGTGAAGCCGGAGTCTAATAACGTTAATACTCATACTCACAGTGCCAATAGTAGTTATAATAAATAGTTAAAAAGGTAGTAACCATAGAAATAGTTAAACATCATAGTAATCAAGAAATATAGCAAAAACGAAGTAGTAAAGATAAAGCTCTTGATAATAATTACCGACAGGTGGAAGTAACAGAGTGGAGGCTCGTATCTTGCTGAGGTTTTGGTTGTTTTCATACAGCCCTCCCCCCCACCCACGCAGTTAAGGTTTAAGGTGTAGAGATCAAGGCTGTATATAACTTATTGCAATACAAAAAACAGCAGGTAGAGGAAGCAAGTCAAGATGTGATTATGTTATGCATATGTATACAAAGGAATATGAGCTGCTGTCAATATCAGCCTTGTTAAGAGACCCTTAACACATAATGTAGTCCCTACCAAGGAACCCATGTCCATCAACTCATGTACGCAATATGAATCCCTGCCATCCCATATGTAACCCCAGTCTCCATTTCGATTTCCATGTTCTGTTCCATTTGATTCTCCCTTATGTTGACTGTAGCCCTAAACCCTAAGCCCCAAACCCTAACTTTAACTGATATAAAGCCAAATAAGCTAGAGTCTAAACTCCTAGTATCCCCTTAGTAACCCCTTATAATACGCTCCTGTAAAATCCCCCATATAACCCTCCTGTAAGGAGCTTAGACTATAGCTCACATGGCGCAGCAAGATAGCTTGGAGGAAACACTTTGAACCGAAGTAGGAAAATCCGCAGTTTGATCAGCTAACATCCATCCATCCATCCATCCATCCATCCATCCATCCCTCCGTCCATCCATCCATCCATCCATCCATCCATCCATCCATCCATCCATCCATCCATCCATCCATCCATCGGGTTTCAGGGCTTATAGAATTTAGGGTTTATAGCGTTTGGGGTTTATAGGGTTTGGGGTAGTAGGGACTGAGGAAATAGAATATATAGGGGTTATATGGGGATTATGTATTACATTCCCTTATTCCCTACTACGCCCGCGTAAGTAAACTTATGCCAGCATTTTGAAAGCACACGCCCCAGGCTTAGACTTATTTCAGGGGGTCCGTAGCATGCAATCATAAAGACTTACTTGATCCGAAATCTTCGATCCGCTGGCCCCAATCTACCCCACCCAAACCCCAACATCCCCAAACCACGCAAGCCCTCTTAGATCCTTATAGATTCCGACTGAAGGCCAGAGGCAGCTAGAGTCTTCTTGTATTTATACACCCCCTAAAATCAGTTTTTTCCATGGTTTCTGCTGAGTGCGCATACGGATACTAAGTACTGTTGGGAAATAAGCATATCTATTTTTGATTTACACTACTTGGGATCCCTCATTTCCCATCTCTTGGGCAGGGGGAGACGAGCTGAACGTAGCTGTGGCTCTGTCCTTGCTTGGAACACCTGCAGCTTGGATCAGACGCTCTCCGCAATTAGTTTACAAACCGGAATGAGGAGGATACTTGTAGCTGAATGTTCAGGGTTTAGGGTTCAGAGAATTTATCATAGAAAAATATGCCCCAAAGGCGAATTGATCTCCGGAAGAGCCTACACGTTCGGGTGTTAGCACACAGCCGAACCAGGGAGGGTGTTCCAGTCAGTTTAGGAGCGTAGCATGTGATTTCACAGGCTGTTTCCGGTGCTCGCAGTGTCTACCTGGTACCTAGACCCAGATCCCAAATACTGATAAACAGGATCTACAAAGAACCTATTGAGGGGTAGTCCGGTAGACTTCATGGTTTTTGGTGGGCTGCTGGTTGTCCAGCACAGCACGGCTATTCTTAATCTGGTAGAGGTCAAAGCTGAGTATAGGCTTAGTCAAGGAGAGGGGATTCTGTTGTATGTCGTACAAAGGTCGTGCAAAGGGTTTAGGGTTTAGGGGTTTAGGGGTTTAGGGTTTAGGGTTTTGCTTTTGCTGCCTTTTGTGTCCTTCACGCTCTGACAGTAGATTCTGTATGGATTCGGGCTGGGGATTTCAGGAACAGAGATATTTAAGTATGGAGCCTGGAACATTTTTTGGAGAAGTAAATTCCCAAAGCAGGTCTGGCATGGACATTCCAGAAGATGCGAAAAAATGTTTAAGTACATCGCGCACCCCTGACCCTGACACTAACACTTAGGCGCGAACTCTATACCTGCACGAAGATCACGGTAACACTAATAGCAGTAGTATAAGTAATAATAGTAATAAGTATACCAATAATTCTAATAACAATAATGGTAATCATATAACCTCCGACGCAACCCTGCAACTGTGGTATTTCCTACTAAAGGCTCTAGCCTTGACTAGAAGAGGGTTGCGGGTTTAGGATTTAGGGTTTAAGGCTCAGGGTTCCAGCTATAGGGTTCAGGCTTCACAGTTTAAAGTTGTGGTCCGATGCTACAATGCTACAAACTCAATGGGTCAAGCCATTTGTGTGAGGTGTGATCCCTACCGGGCCCATGGGCGACGTGATTGCTTCTGGCTGCGAAGCCAACAAGGTCCCTCAACAGGACCTAGAGTTTAAGATCTATGGGGCTTCGATCTTATGATTGTAGCCTTTAGGGTTCAGGCTTTCGGGTCTAAGAGTTTGGGGTTTAGTGTACTATCCAAGGTTTTTTGACCCACCATGCAGCATATGCAAGGACCCTTTGAAGAGGACAAATGAAGCCAACATACACCAGGTAACTGAGGAATGAAGAAATCGGCGTATACCTGTATACCCGTATGAGGTTCGCGCACATGTGGGGGGGCGGGGGGCGGAAAGTAGAAATTTCTATTGATAGGGCGGTCGGTCGGGGGCTGGCTAGTACTAGGCAAGGGGGGATTACCTGAGAGGATTTCCTGAACTCCAGGAAAGGAGATAATTTTCAGAGGGAGCTCTGACAGAACACAAGGGGATCTCAGTGCGATAAAGGCCGTTGGATCTAAGGACGCAACGTAGTCCAGACAGTGATTCCTTGCTCCTGAATTGTTTCTGACTCAGAGCATCTCAAGATGGTTTCAATTTATCTGGGGATTCCGAAGGTCATGTTTCCAAGCTACTGTCATTCCTCAAAGTAGGTCTCGGGCGCTCGAATCTATCTCGTTGCTGCGGCACCCACCCAAACCTTTGACACTGTGCTTGGGGGCCTCCAAAGAGCTTGCAAACACTCAGGTCGAGTTCCGAGGCTCGCGCACCGAAGGCGACATAGGCGTGAGTTCTGAAAGCGCGGGCTCCAACCGTTTCTTGGGGTGGCTCTGGTTTCTTGGAAATTGGCTTCCCGAGCGCGCAGCTTGATCCTTGAAGCACCCAATGTAGCAGCCTCAACGGTTGGAATAGGAGCTCAGGATAGCCATACAGGGATTGTAAGGGGATGGTATTCTCATACTGCCCATACTTCTCCAAGCTTTAGCACTATCGTGCGTGTAAACTTGCAAACGCAAAAATTGAAAACCTGACTTCAGCTATAGATCCACAGAACCGATGCCCTACTCTTCAAGTGGCACAGGGTTCGCCCACAATTTTCAGAAGTCACCGCGTCCAGTGAGCCCTAAAGCCCTAACCCCTAAACCCTTAAATCAATCCCCAAACCCTGAACCCTCAGCCAGGGATCTTCACCATCCTTCCAGCGCAGAAGACTGTGCATTATCAGAGGAGACATTCCGTGTTTGCACAGCATGTGCCTGGACGGCTTCTGTTTGCCTGTAGGAATGAATTCAGGGTCTAGGTTGGGTACTGCCCTCACTCTGTAATAGTTAGACTATTTTTAAAGCATAAGTATATAAAGCCCATATAATATGACCCTATTATAGACTGTTACAGGGCAGGGGCATAACCAAGGTCTAGGGTTTAGGGTCATAGTTTCAGGCGCAGGAATGACAACATGCATGAGTCCAGATACAGTCGCACATCAGAATTCCTCTGACCCAATCTCCCATAGCCTACCCAGCACGAAGTAGTTGTTCTAGTACGGTTTCTGCTTTTGCTGGGAGTTTGTTCCTTAAAGTGTTTCTGGGGTGCGAAGTCCATCTTTCAACTTCCTCTTCTCGAGGAGTGTGCCTTCAGGGCATGGTACTTGTGGTGCTTAAACCACTAGAAAAAGCTTTCGGTGAATTCTATACCACAGGCAACGACTATGAGGGAATAGCATCTATATCTATAGAGGCTTCCACTGCAGGCTTATGTTGCGGTACTGGGGCGAGTTTCCCAAAAATATGTGTACTTGTCTGGGGGTTCCTAGAAGAAGGATTCTCATATTTTGGGTCTACATTGGGCAGAAACTACACCTTCATGTGCAGGCATCACTTAGCTCCTGTTTTCGCCAAGCTACCATGTTTCTCAGCACTGCCCTATGTAATACCGACTAGAGACGCCCAGAATCCCCTCACTTAAGTCCCATGTATCCCTGGAGTCCGTAAGGATACCCAATTGGTTTCAGGTCTGGGTGTAGCAAAGGAGCATGGAGAGATGCGAGATTCTCAACGCAAGCCCTTTATCAGTTATGATCCATAAAGATGTGTGCCAGGGTCCCTAAGGAAAGTGCTGCAAAAAGACGAAGCAGGATGAGGGGAGGAACAACTGTGCGCAGAGCTACGTTGCACAGCTAACGGGCTTTGGGGTTTAGGTGTTTTGGATTTCGGGTTCAGTCGTTTAAGTTGGGTTTTGTGGCAGCCTGTTGCCCCTTTGCCTGGAAAACAGATAGCTCCACGGCACCCAGGAAAGAAATCTGTCTCAACACCACTCACAGGCTATGTACAGAACTCTTCAACCCAACTGCAAAAACCCCATACTTCACACCTTTAAACGCTAGACCCCTAAACTCTAAAGGCTCCGAAGCCCAGTCCTGATATTGGCCTGGGTTCCTATATATGTTCAGGGTTTAGGGTTTAGGGTTCACGGTTTCGGGTTTGGGATTTAGGGTTTAGGGCACTTTAGGCCCGCCCTCTTCGACCTCAGCATCGAACGCCCCTTCAAATCATCCTTGTAGATGATCCCAGCATTCTTCCTACGTATAGTTACGTATAGTCCGTCTCTAATTCGCGTGGTATCAAAGAAGCTTCTGTGCGCTTCCTGTACATCCTTGCACTGTCCTTATGTTGTCTTGAAGCCCATTTATCTGGACCATTGCTGCACTTGACTTTTAATTTCGTAGAGCCCCATCTCAGGATTTAGGGCTCAGGGCAGAGGAAAGTACAATGTTTCTCATGCAAGGAATGTCATACGCCATCCTCGCAAAATCTATGGATAATCCAACAAGGTATGGACGCCTCAACAAGTCTAATCCCTGAGCCTTACCTCAAAAATCCCTTTATATCCCCAAACTCTCTCTCTCTCTCTCTCTCTATATGTATATATATATAAATACACACCCTACCCCCTAAATGAAGCCCTAAACCCAAAATCCCTACATATCCCCGAAATGAAGGAAGCCTTGAGATTCAACTGAGGCGCCTCAGAGCTTGGACTGGGATGCCTTACTGTCGGATGCTTCATGGCTTCATCTAACCGGCTCCCTGGCGACAGATACTTACACGTGTTTAGTAGGGTTTAGAGTTTTGGGTTTTGAGTTTAGGGATTAGGGTTTAGGCTTTAGGGAGTTAGAGTCTGAGGGCTTTGACTGAAGGAATGGAAAAGACATGGAAACCGCTGTGCTGTTCGGGGTTTAGGCCTTTGGTGGTTGGTAGGCAATGAAGGAATGGCATGAGAAGGTCAACTACTGCACTGTTTAGGGTTTATTGTTCGGGTGGTTGGTGGGGGATGAAGGCAAGGGTTTCATGCATTGCAATACAGAATCCATTCCTCCGTTCCCCGCCAACTGCCAGCAAATGCATTCTTTGTTTATAGTTCGACTAAAAGCAAGTGTGTGAACATGAGGGGCCCCAGGAAGTTGTGGGAAGTTTTGTTCAGGGACCCCCCAAGGAGGAGAAGGAGAAACCTACTAACATGTAGTCTGAAACGATCAGCTCCAACGCGGGGTTCAGCAGGGTTGAGGGTAGGGTTTAGGGGATAGGAGCCTCGGGTTGCATCTATGAACATGTGGAGAAGAGGGTTTGGGTAACCACAACCACCCCCAAGATCAGGACATTATTATAGTCATCTGATAGTCACTGATACTCATAGGGTCCCCATTCTGAATTCTGCGGGTTCCGTTGCCAAAGTCCTCTCCTTATTCAGGGCCCTGCAAAATGTCCACATGTGCGCGAGGATCCTTGCCTACAAGAGGCGACAGGGGGAGGCGCCCTGCAACAGGCTACCCTGTCAGCCTCCTATGACTCGCCGAAACCAGCCATTCTACACAAATCATGAGCGCAGGACCTTGAACCTCCAGCTCTGCTGCCTACAAAGCTAAAGTCTGAAAGATTCTTTCAAAAAAACAGGGCTCCCTTTTTTGGAGACTCCATCTAACAAGGACTAGATCATTCTACGGTCTATAGCGGGGACTATGTTTGGAAGTCCCCAGTGTAGGGAAGTCCCAAGGTATCACCCCTTTGGTGAGCACAGCAGCCCGCCAGAGTTGGTCCAATGCTCTTCGCGCAGCGGAGAACTTCGATCCCATTTAGATGGCTTTCCATTGTTATTGGGGTTATATTGGGATAATGGAAAAGAAAATGGAAACTACTCTAATGGGTATAGTATAACCCCAGTTTCCATTTCATTTCCCATTTTCAGGGGTTTAGCCTCGAACGCACAAGGGACTCGGGGATCAACTGCGAAGGTTTGCTACATCCCCGCACATGGGTAGTTATCGCAAGTAGGTTGTTTATTTCATAGCTTCTTTGTGGGATTTTTGCTTAGAATCCACGCTCCTCCCTAAATTCTCAATTTGGGTAGTTGCCGCCGAGCATGAATCAGGCCCTACTGTTGTTACACAAGGGCCACAATAGTTCGGCAAACAGTTGGAGTAGTAACTTACTGTACACTCTGTTAGAACCATGTAAGGGACATAGAGGGATGAAACTGTTTGGGCCCCTACCTTTTGCCAAGATCGACCCAGACCAGGGTTCTCCAGAAGGTTCTTGAAAGAGTGCAGCTCCAGGTCGGGTTTATTTCCCGTAGAACGGGGAGTTTCTCCGAAATCTCTAAAGAATTCTTGCAGGTTACCCTTACAATCCTCATATTAATGTCTACAGTCGTAGAGTATCTCCATTTTGAGAAATCGCTCAGGCAGGGGAATTGCAGGTGAGCACCTTGCGCAACGCCTCAATGTACAGACCTCACACTAAGCGTAAACGTTGCGCTTTGAGTCGTGACGCGTGCGGGGATTGGTGACTTCGCAACATGCCTGATGAAGTCACGAAGACGAGCTGCTTAGACTTGCTGCTTGCTTTTGTAAAGGCCTACGCGACGATTTTGAGCCAGAAAGAAAGGTCTGGCAAGATCCTTCAAAGTATTCTATTCTAGTAACAAGTGATGGAACACTTGCCCATCAATTTCCCATCTTGCGGCTCCACTTGTTGGAGTTGAATGCGCCTCCACAGCATGCCACCCCGGAGCAATGTGGGTTTGGCACTTGGCGAATCAGCAACAAAGTCTTCGTCTTTGTTTTCCAAGAACTTCCAAGCCAACTCAAAGCCCGTGACGGAGCATTCGGCCCAATAACCATCCTCCTAAATGTGACATGCTCGCTTCTCGAAGTTATGAGTCCTCTTAGGGATGTATTAAGGGGCAGCTTACCCAAATCTGAAGCAGCTGCTGGTGGAATCGAGGAAGCGCCGTGTGCCGATCTCTCTCGATCTCAATCATCGTGCACAGCTAGGCTGGCGCCCCTCATGGTAAGCACATACAAGGGGCCAAGGGTATAGGCTGGGAAATCCTGAGCCCTAAGCTCCCATAGCTGAGAATGGTATCAATACAACCCGTCCCTTGAGAATCCTCGGGTTCAGCCAGAGATCCTAAACCCCTAAGCCTAAACACTGAACTGCATGCGGATCCTAGTCTCGAAGCTCTAGGCTCCTAAACTGCAGGTAAATCCTAAACTCTGTGACCTAAACCCTAAACGCCCAGACCCCTCGGTTTCCGCAAACTCCAGAAATCCAGGTTTCGGTCATGTTTGTGCCGCACATGTCAGGAAGTTGTTGCACACATCATGTCGACATCTTTAGGGTCAAGGGTTTTTAGGGTTTAGGTATTTGAGGGTGTGGGCATTTC